ATATGGAAATATAGCTTAATTTACAGTAAAATTTATTAAACTGTATGTAACAAGCATGTGAGTAGGATGGGATCAGAAAGTTGTCTATGGGAACTATTTGTGATATTGGCCTGATTGGGACTCGCAGATATTCTGTCATGAGTGGGGTCTGTCATAGGTGTCACCTGTTCATATAAAATGTAAAATTTTCCTGCAGAATGACCGAGTTCTAATTCTCCGCCTGCTTAACCGTGATGAAACAGACCACAGGTTCAATTCTTGCCAGAAGTTACAATAGTTAACTAGAAGAAGCCTATAGTTACTTTTTTGCAATGTCAACCCCATTTGGTGTTTGTCAACCCCATTTGGTGTCCGTCAACCCCATTCGAGATCACTTAGGGATAAAATTGGTCTGATTAGTCACATGCAGATGCGCAATAGGTAGAAACCACACAGGGTTGGTGGTCATCATCGTAAGTGTTGGAGAAACCACACAGGGTTGGTGGTCATCATCGTAAGTGTTGGACGAACAAGAGTGGGACATGTGCGAGTCTTCAACCTAGCAAATTTCTGGCAGCTGTTTAACATTTTCTGCTCTTGACTACATTCTCTTTGCCAAATAGGTCTCTGATATAAATTGAGCTGTTGCTATGTAGAATGTAAAGCATATTTGTTTAAAATTATTTGTCACACATAGCTGGAAGCTGCTGCAGCCATCTGCCGCAAGCTTGACATTTATTATCCAACACAGCTAAAAATATTTACATACAACAACATAATTATCTTAGAAAAACCCACAACCATCTCTCAATTAAAAGAAAAACAACATATTATTAAGTTACCAGCAACATGATTGAGCAGGCGGGTGGGCGGGAACAGGTCCAGCAATGGGGGAAGCAACAAGAAAATGTGCTTCCCCAACCTGCACTGCCTGATTATATTAATCAGGTCCCCAGCCATGTGTGAGAATGTACAATTACTTTATGGTTTCCGTGTTCGGATGGCCTGATCCAAACACGCAGGAATGTTGCGAGAATTAAGAAAAGCACACAAAATCACAAGCCGAATGTTTTATAAAATAACAACTTTCCATGTTAAAATTTCACTTTAAAAAAAACTTTAACTTTAAATTTCTGTGTTTGGATGGCCTGATCCAAACACAGGTTTCGACCAATCAGTGCACGCGTTATGTACATGTTATTTTATAAAAACATCGTTCATTCCTCAGCCAGGAGAAAATTTTATTTTAAATGAAATTTAACAGTTTCAATCTTTATTAGTTGTGATTGAACAACCGAAAATTGAGGAAAGCATTGTTCCCAGTGTGGTTGTTGAAGTGAAAAGTGAAGTCGAGGAAAAGCCAGAAAAACCCCAAAGTAATGGCGAGCTTAAGCCTCCAGAGAAGCCGCAACGCTCAACAAAAATCAACCGGTCACAAAGCGATAGGGTTCCAAACCATCTTGGAACCGGCAAGGATCGAGATTTGCGGCACTCGTTCAGATACGGAAATCGTCACGGTTACAAAGTTTATGTTGCTGACGAGGAGAAGGAAAGTGGTGTTCAACGATGGCGGCCGAAGGGATTTGGTGCCAAGAAGAGTCTGTTTGAAGGAAAAGAGCCAGTCAAATTCCTTGGCGCTCGGCATATTACAAGTCCAGTGGCAAAGGTACGGCAAACCAAGATGCAGTTCAGCAAGCCGCGCCCAAAGATAACATCGAGTGTGAGTTTGCCTTGCAAACTGAACGAAACCACTGGGAAGACATCAAGGTCGTTTAATGGTCTTGCAGGTCGTAGGATTGCTAGTTCTTCAAATATCCCAACAGGTATGTGGAACACTTGTGTAAGAAACTGTATATCATGAACGTAACATCATTAGAGTATACTTTGATTTTTGCTAGATATTTGATCAGTAGAATAGATATTAAGAAAAAGGCTTAATTAAGTGCAGATTGAGAAACCACTGTATGTTGCAAAACCTATAAACAGGTAGATTTGATGAGTACATTTTCCAATGTTCAAGAGACTAAAACCAGTGGTGCCTAAATTACTTTGAATTTGTATTCGAGTAAAAGTAGAAGTAATTAACAATAAAACGACTTGAGTAAGAGTAAAAATAAAAAGTACTGGAAGCAAAGCGTACTTAAGTAAAACGTACTGTACAAAGTATCCTTAAAAAATACTTGAAGTACAAAGTAAAAGTACTATTGTCTGTAGCATGTAGAGGGGGGGAGGGGCTTCTCCAATGGATTGACATACAAAAGACACAAAACAGCACACGCATTATATGCGTGTACCGAATATACAATATTTCACGGCATGGTCTACTTTCCAGACCCCGTTGAAGATATAAGAAATCCATTAAATAAATAATGCTTGTAAGTAAGTCACAAACGAGAGATCTCAGACGCATGTAAAGGTCGTATTACACATCCCGAAATTAAAATCTGGAATAAATCACGTAAAATTAAACAAAAGTTAGAAAGTAACGAAATATACTTCGCCACAAAATGAAAATAACGAAGTAAAAAGTTACTTCTTAAAATGACTTCGTTCTAAGTAAAAGTACTCCAGAAAAAGTTTACTTTGTTACATGCTCACTTCTCAAAAATAGTACTCAAGTACAGTTTACTTCGTTACTTGACACCACTGACTAAAACAACACAATAAGATCATTAAGAAACATTGCGACTGATGGAGTTTACTGTGGAAGTGTTAGTGTGATTAAAGAGATCAACAGTAACAAGATGCAATTAGTATACATGTAATTAGACGGTAATAAAGTTAGTTTATGTTTCCTCCTGTAGTAACACTGAGCCAATAAGGAAGAACAGTTCAGAACTGACAGAGCTATCCCATACAAAAATGCTAGGGTTACTTAACCTTGTAAGACAATTGTTTATGTCATTTAGGTATGCACCTCTTAAAGGACTTGCCGTCTTCAATCAAGAATCAGGCAGCCGACATCCTTGACGACCCTGCCAAGGGACAATGGTGGAGAAAGATCGCCATCCATTATCGTATCCGAGAAGTCGAAGTTAACGACCTCGCCTTCGGAGCATCTCGACACATTTCGGGAAGCGAAACCAAAGCTCTGTTCCAAAAACTGTCTGTCAAGCATCCTGACTTGACTGTATTAAGCCTAGTTGACTTTTTACTCAGTGAACATGCCAGCCATGACATTTTAAATCTGTTTCGGCCATATACGTATAAAGGGATTTAATACGTAGTGCGATCTATGTACATCATAGCCATCTGTGGATTTTTTTTGTAATATAATTTGGTATTGTAAACCACTTTTAGTGAAATTATAGTAGCAATGCACCAGAGCAATGCACCAGAAAGTACCAGTTTCATCTTGAAATAGATTATGTTAAATATAAAGTTGTTAATATATCTTACTTACATTATTTAGTGGATTTTATACTTATAAAAGAGGACAAATTACACACAGAAATATTTTGCATTCTGTCAACAAGATTTGATCGTAACAGTCTTGTGGCAATGTTCGCCTTGTCAAGTGCAAATGGCACTGTTGTATAAATTTTATCACATTGCTACAAGGTTGTCACAATGTCACTCGCAATTTGCAAGGACGGTACAAGTTGGAACCTGTTGGGACCATTTGTAACAAGTTTGTTAAGTCAACAACCTTGTAGCAAATTGTCATCAAACCGTTAAAAATGTTTTCAACAAGTGCAAACACTTACTGTATTCTAATGAACATACTAAATACTACTTAATGGTGGTTATTTTTGTATCTTTGCAACTGTAACAGACATTCCAACTCTCCCGATTAGGATTTTACCGGGAGTCTCCCGAAAATTCATGCAATCTCTGGTCTCCCGATTTTTATAAAATTCTCCAGATTTTTTAGAATATTCAGGAAATATAGTAAAAAAAAATCATAAACATGCTGTTTTTAGCAACATAATAGTCTGTCTTGACCTTTTTATGAAGTTCCTTAATGGCAATTTTAGGATCACTTATAACAACATCTTCCCAAAATGCAGGAAACGCCATTTCAGAAGACTTAATTTTTATTATTTTTTCCCAGAAGAACTAGATTTCAATTCACTGAACAGTCTCCCTAAATTTCACCTCCAGTAGTTGGAATGTCTGCTCATGGTACTTACAGTGTAAGTACCATGAGTATTGTACCAATGACTTCTGAGGATCGCACAGGGATTTCTAGAAAGACAGGCATACATATGTTGCAATGAGAACAAGCGGTTAAAAGCAAAATAATCACACTAAACACAGTCTGACATGATGAAATCTTTGTTGGAGACCCTCGCTAAAAATAGTATGTGGTTTTATTGGTAGTCTTTCTATAGACTATTTGTTACTGGAACATGTGAATAAAAAATTAGTGTGCAGTATTTGTGGTTGTCACATCTACAGAGAGGGTACTGTTGTTTCTATGGTGATGCCGTAGTTGGTGCCAATGGTTGGTGCTGGTGATTTTCACCTCTGACTGGGGTTCACCAACTTCAGAACGGCACTGAATATTTTTAAATGAAAACACTTTATAAATATTTTCGTGTTAACAGACATCTTCAAAGCTTTTCAATATAAGGAGGGTGATGGGGAAGATGGTGGGGGGTCCGCCGCGCACTGATAGATAACAGTCTGGGAACGATTAACCTTTGACCTTGTTTTCAAGGCGGTTCAAATTGAATTTTTTGTAAAATGCTAGTCTGTCCTCGAATTTTGCTGACATTTTCCTGCTAAAATACTTCAAAAAGTGAACCGCTTGCTGCAGAAAACGTTGAAAATATCGGATGTTTGAAATGTGTGCTGAACGGAGTAAAAATGGCCGAAATATTCGTGAAATCATGGGAGAGGGTGGTCGCCATATTTATTTGGTATGTTTATATAATTTGTGACTTTTACTGTAATTTAGCTTTGTTTTTAAAATTGTCAGAAAATGTTTTGTTAAATGTATAAAGCTGTTTGCAAAGTTGATATAGACGTTCAATAATAATATTTCCCTGACCAATGAACATTATGATTGACAATTTGACCCTACAAATGCACCATATATTTGATAATTAATACATCGCAAATCTTTTCTAAAATATTTTTGGTTTGGTTGGTAATCCACCTATGTAAACAGGCTTGGTGATTGGTTGCTCAAGACAATAAAAGGTCAACTTCTTGGTTTTGCCTTGATTTTGGCATAACCGTTAATTGCAATATTATTGGCACTGAAATTTTAATTAAACTGCACTTTTGATCTGGCTGGTATAAAATATTATGCAAGCTCCAGGCAGCAATGATAGTTTTTAAAATTTTGATGTACTAAGTGTAGTTTCCGGAGCTGTGTGAAATTGACTGCAGTAGACAATAAAGTTTCCAAATAATTTTTCTCCTACCGTACATGGGACTAACTTTTTTGTAGGTTTGCATCCAATAATATAATTTGTGTTTTTGTTTTAAATTTGTTTTGGGGAAAACACAGTGTGTATTATTGTGAAGCTAAGAAGCGCCAATTGACCATTTGCGTAATAGACTAAATTTTGAACTAAACAAGTCTATACAAAAAATTCATCACAGCTTGAAAGAGCATCACAAAAGTAGTAATATTCCAAAGTTTCGTTGCAAAATGTTGTAAAATGCGGAAAATATAGCCTTGCGAAATTTGCAATTTTCAGTCATTTTAGATTACAAACGGGAAATTGACAGCCTCAAACCCTTCGAGGCTGTCAATTTCCGGTTTGTAATCTAAAATGACTGAAAATTGCAAATTTTGCAAGGCTATATTTTCCGCATTTTACAACATTTTGCAACGAAACTTTGGAATATTACTAATTTTGTGATGCTCTTTCAAGCTGTAATGAAATTTTTGTTGAGATCAAAATTTAGTCTATTACGCAAATGGTCAATTATTGGCTTCAATTGTCTGGTCTAGAATATCTGCCAAAGATACTAGAGTCTGCCAAAGTCCATGTTGTTCTGGACTTACTTGAGTAAGATTGGAATATCTATCTGTGGTAACACAACTATCATTGCTTGAGAGCTAAATTGAAATGGGTTTGATAGTAGATAATGATTATGATCGATAAAATATATTCGCTCAAAATGTTCCCTTGTGATGAAATCTTCATATTTCTTGCAATCTCCACCTTCCTGAACATTTATCGTAAACCAGGAGTGGGGAAATTGAATGTGATATGATAGAACTTAGCATCAATTAATTGGTCTGGAATACAGGAATCTGTCAAATTTCATGTTATTTTAAACTTAACTGGGGTATAAAGACTGGAAAATCTAGCTGTGACGG